TTTGTAATTTAAAGGTTAGTATCACGGCAAAACCTAAATAGAAATAAATGATAATAAGTTATTAAAATTATAATTTGATTACAAATAAATGATAGATAAATAGATAATAAATATGGATTCTAAAAATATATCGTTAAAATTAAAATTTGATATATAAATTAATGAAATTATAGTCCCCGTTTGGTGGCTTTTTTTGAAAAAAATAAAGTGTAATTAAAAAGTAAGAAATATTTTTAAATTTACATAAATTTTTTTTTTAAAGTTAGTGATTTCGGTATTTTTAAGGTGTTTTTTTTTCCTTTTTTTTTTTGTATTTTTCGCAGTGTACAGTATCACTACAGTTTCATTTCCATTCCGTTTAGAATTTTTTTTTGCTATATATATATACACACACACACATACATATATACCTGAAAAAACAAAAAAGAAAGGCCTATTTTTGAATTAAAAATACCAAAATATCAAAATCACTAAATTTACTAACTTAAAAAAAAAAAAAGTCCGCATGCGGAGGCAAAATATCTTCGTGTGCGGAGGCTATTCTCCATTTTTGCAAATTACATTTCATTTTCCAGTCAAAAATATGACAATTTCAACCTCAGCGTGTATGTACTATATATATTATTATATTATTATCTAGAGTTGAGGCGAGAAAGGAATGTGTAGAAAATATGTTAGAATTGAATTTGAATTTGGTCCGCAGGTAACGCATTTTTTCTTTCTTTTCTTTTCTTTACTTTTTTTTTTTGCCCTTCCCTTGGGCGTCAAATTGGGGCAGCATCTTAGGCGAGAATACTGTACAGCTATCCTTCTTTAATAGGGATGACAATTCGAATTGTGAAAATCGAAAGCCGCGATTAACCGAATCGAATGGGGCTAAAAAAACCGAATCGATGGTGTAATGGGGCGGTTATGATTTTGATTTTAATGAACCGCTTCATTTAGGGGCGGGTATGGTATTTAGTTATGGTGCACCGAACCGAACATATTACCCGTTTAAAAAAAAAAAAAAAGGGACAATTGGGCTTTCCATTTTTATTTCTCAAAATTAATTGGGCAATTTTTTTTTTTGGCTTCCCAAAATTCTAGTCCAATTAATATTAACTAAACTTTAACCCAATAACTCAGGCTCCAGTAACCCAATTCAATGTCAATGTACCCTTCACGTAATTAAAAGAGAAAAGTTCATAGATCGGATATTAACTTTGAAACTTGTAAAAATCGGGTGCTAAAGTTTTAAAATTGCAAAAATCAGGTTTTTACTTTTTAATAATTAATTAAATATTTAATTGTGCAATTTGGTCATAGATATCTTATTAATTAGTTAAAAATAATTTTAGATCACAGCTTATCAAAAAATTTATAGGTCACAATTTTTTATCGGTCATAAATTAAAAATTTTGTAGGTCAAAGATTATTTCGAGGTCACAAATCTAAAATTGATGATAAATAAATGTGTAGGTCCAATACCGCCTAAATTGATGCTAAGTATAAATAATGTTATGTCCGTATTTGTTAGGATTTAAAATCTAATTTTAATTTAAGTTAAAATCAACAATTAATTTTAATCAAATATTTTATGGATCCCACAACTTTTCAACCACGCATTTCATTAATTTCTATCAAAATCTATTAAAATTTTGATTTTAATTACCGTCAAATAAGGATTATATATCATTATCCATGACTAAACATAACTTATTTTAGATATTTAAGCATCGATTCAAGTTCGGAAACAAAATACAGCTCAACAAACTTGTATATGTGAGGTTTACCATTTACATGACAATTTTATATAAATTTAAATGTTTCATATTGAGAATATTGTGTAACTAAATATTAATTTTCTACTTAAAAGGTTAGAGATCAATTTATTACTCAAATAATGAGTTGGAGAGTAGAAGCGAAATTTTTATTCCTTCTTTTGGCTCTACCGTCCTCATGGGGTGAAAGAATCGTCATCTACGGTCGTGATTTTCCCTTTCATAGATTGTTAGGAATTCAATGGCTAGGATTGCACTAAAATTAAGTGCAGTGGGTGGTAACTGGTAACAAATTTGGCATAAATGGAGAAATTTCAAGATTTTCTAACTGTACCAAAGAATAAAGCAAAATTGAGTTATTCCTAATAAATTCAAAAGTAATTTTATAGATTCACTTTTCATCTTATTATGAAAAATTAAGGAAAATCGAGTCTTCTAACACAAACATGATTTGAATAATTGATTATTGTAAACATTTTATTTTTTCTTATAATTTAAAATAAGATGTCATTATATATTAATTATTGCAACTTTGACATTATAAATGCCTTTTTTAGTATTTTGATTTTTTTTGCAGTTTGTTTGCATGAATAATTTTAGTTCACGAGTCAAGGATAAGCATATTACCATTTTCATCTTTACTGTATTAGATGTGTGTAGTTCACTTGACCATGTGCAGTATGTATCTAAAATGAGAAACAAAAATTGGCTCTATATATAATTTTATATCTAGTACTAGTACTGTTAACTTTCATTGACTTTTTTTCGTAAATTATTTTTTTTTCAAGTTGACGATTGGACCTATAAAAGATAATTTATTTTCGTGGTTATTAATCGAACCAAACCGAGATACAAACCGAACCGAACCGAACCGACTTTCGTGGTTATGGTACGGTTGTGGTATGACCAAAAAATTGGTGGTGCGGTTATGATTTTGGCCGAACCGACTTCGAACCGAACCGTTGCCCTCCCTATTCTTTAATAGAGTATAAGATATAAGATTTCTTTATTTTAACTGTTTTTGCTCGATAAAATTTGTTCTTCCCTCTTAAAAATTCTAAAATATATTCCAAAAATTTCAATGTTACAATCTCTTACATGCACACAGTACCGCACCTTCATGTTATCTCTCCAATTGATCAGTACAAAAATAGAAAATAAAAAGAGCTCATACATGCACAATGTACAACCCATTAATGCACTATTTCACAAAATTGACCATGTTGTAATTCTTGTTTCACGGGAGTCCATTTCGTTCATCATTTCCAGCGCACATCCTCTTTTTCTCCCTCAAATCATTAGTTAGAAGCAAAAAAAAGTTAAAATTCCCCCCAAATAAATCACAAATTAATTCAATCATAAATTAAGTGTTCCGATCCGTTTTGTTAAACTCAGTGCCGGTCAGATCCAGTAAGCTCGTCATCTCTCACATAATCGCATGTATATATACACCAATATGTATCTATATATGAAATCCTTGTTATTATTCTAATATAATTCTAAATCCCACAATTAAATTTTGATAGCCCAATTTTTGCCCCATTCATTAACTTAATTGTGTTTGTATAGGACCTGTGAATATTCTGAAGGATAGAGATGGGAATCTTTGACGGACTTCCCATTTCCCGAGAGAAATCGGTGAGTTTTTTACTTTGTTTTGTTACCATTCAACTCTTGTTTCTCGTGTTTCATTGTTTCTATAAACAGAAGTACGGAAATTGATCTATATAGAATGTGCAATAGGGTGCATGGCGAAATGTGGGTTGGTGTTGAATTGTTGTTATATTTAAGCGTTTTATTTTGGTTTTGAATTTTTGGGTCCAAATTAATGGTCGGAGCTTGATATAAGGGAAGTTGTAGGTACATTCATATGCTGGGTAAGTTAGTTTCCTAACGTTCTTTACTTGATTTAAATTGGGAATTGGTATCCATATATAGCTTTGGAGAAATTCTGTTTTCTATACCGACCTAATCGGAAACGAGTCCCCTGATGCATGTCATTCACGAGCCTCGAGAACTTAAGTGTAACACGTGTGTTCTAAGTAATGTTGTGTCTAAAGATATGCATCCAAGTTGAGCTTGGCTGTACTTTTCGTAATTTTATTTAATATGCTCTGTGCTTTAGTGAATGTTATGATGCAATTGACACGTTAAGGACATAATGCTGTTAACCCAATTTAAACTGCGAACGAGTAAATTGAGCTTCGCAGCGTAGCTCAGGTTAGATTCTGCTTTAATATCCTTCGTTGATCTTGTTCAAGCTCCTAATGCGAGTCATTTACAAGGCTTTCTTGTTCTGCTCTAAATAGTCTAGTCTCTAATTAAAAGCACGCAAGTGGAGCTTGGAAATTTCCGTAATCATTAGTCAGTTTCCAGGATCTTCTCTGTAGCTGTTTTGGAATGAAACTAGAGTGAACCAACAATTAATGCAGTTACTATTAGTTGCATACATAAGATCTTACTGTAGGTGACATCTTTATAGTTGAGAGTTTGGAATATTGAATTGAAAAATCATGAGTACTTATTGCCGCTTGCATATTGAGTGAGGAGACAGAGAGGAATACAGAATTGCAGAACTATTCACGTACTGCTTTTTTGCTGTGAACAAGTCAAGTCAAGGTGATAAGTTGGCTTGAGCTTAGCTTGAATATTGAGCTCTAAACTGAAGTCCAATTTTTGGTGAATTTGTCTCTTAATCGATCTTAAGAGAGCCTGAAAATAAGACAGCAACGACCTGAAGTTGTCTAGTTCTTTTGGTATAGAATTTTGTTGGGAAGACGAATAATAAATAAGTTTAGATCAGTGAGGTTTTCTTCTTTCTAAGTTGGCATTTTTATTCATGAGTTGAGCACGAATGACTACTCAGATTGATTGTGCACGAGTTCATGTAGATTAAGTTTAGAGTGAATGGGGACTATGTTGTGGATGAAGGCCTTGGTGAAGACTGCCAAATGTTTGTTCTGATTGTAGGATCATTGGTTTCTTTTTTTTGTTAATTGTCTCCTCAATTGGGTTGTGGTTGCGGGAGTGCCATAGAATGTTCAAAACGTGCGGAGATATGTTAGAAATGTAGGACTGAGTTTTGGGTAGCCAGCCGCCTTTATAGAGTGAATTTCTTCTCTAAAATTTATTTTTTGAACTTGTGTGTTCCTAAATCCTTTTATTTTCTTTTCGAAATTTTGGCAGTGTGTTTTATATTCTGTGGTTCCTGGCATTTGATCTAGTATACCTTGATAATAGTGATGTACACCCACTTGTTATTAACTCTATAGGAATTACTCTGAGCATATATGTATTCTTTATCACGAAAGTTGGGTTACTGTTACTGTAAAGAATATGCTTCTAATTGCGCTTTGTCATAATTGCAGTATTTAAAGGAAGAACTTTCTAAAATAGATGAAAATTGGGCTGCTGCGCGTTTTGATTCTTTACCTCATGTTGTCCATATTTTGACATCGAAAGATCGTGAAGGAGACGTGCAGATCTTAAAGGAGCAGAGTGATATTATTGAGGAAGTTGTTGATGAAGTAGTTCATGCCTATCATGGTGGCTTCAACAAAGCAATTCAAAATTATTCTCAGGTTTCATAATAGTTCGTTCTTTTGGTTCCCTTCTGGAAAGCATTGTATATCTGACCAAAAAAATTTTCTTTATGGATCTGAGAGCGTGATTAAGTATAATTTGCATATTCTGGAGATATTCTTACTTATTTTGGCACGTGTTACTGACATGTGGATGTGTTACCTCTACATTGAGGGAAGACTGAGATTACTTCAAGAGCTCTCTTCATGATTGGTATTTTTCAAGGAAACAATTTTCTAAATAAAAACACGTGTCAATTGGCCAACTAATCGAATTTAGGCCCGGTTTGGTCCACATTATTTTTTTCATTCTCATTCTTCTACTCATTTTTAACCATACATTCTTCAATAAAATAATATTTTCCATCACATCAATAACTTTTCCTTCTTTTTCAACCACACATTCTCCATAGACCCCACTTGATGTGAAAGATAAAATGTATTAATTGAAAAAGAATGGCTCTGACACTTGGCTTTTATAAGAGGGCGTGACGGGTTAAATGACGAAATTGGCCTGGTTAATACATATAAAGCCTGTTTGAACCACATTTTTTTTTCATTCTCATTCTTCTACTCATTTTTAACCATACATTCTTCAATAAAATAATATTTTCCATCATATCAATAACTTTTCCTTCTTTTTCAACCATATATTCCCCATCACATCAACTGTAAAAATGCATTCTTACCTTCAAAATGTGCACCAAATGGGGGCTTAACTTTGCATTTTAAACAACACTTGAAATGTAAAGCCATAACTATATTCTAAGTCTTTAACATGACATTTTTTTGCCTTTTTTCTTTCCTTTTGAAACACTTCTATTCTGGGACTTTTAGGAGAGATTGTAATATTAGTTAATCTTATATTCATTTTTGCTTGTATAAAAAAGAGAGCTGAAATGCAATTTGATCCACCTCAGATATGGTGCAACACCACCATGGTCTAGCATTTGGTTTTATCTGTTTGAGTGAGTTACAAACGTCTGATTCATTCAAAATTTGGAAGAACCTTGTGAGTCTGGTTAAGCTTTCAGAGCTAGAATGAACGGATATTGATATAAAGTTTGTCAATATTATTTTTAGTGTCAATACATTTATGGTTGTCTGGTGGCAAAAAAGTGAGGAATTATGGTGAGCTATATACATGGAATCTTCTGCCTTACTATTAAAAGAGGAAAATAGGTTTTCTCGCAAACATCACATTCAGACGGTTAAGCATATGTAATTTTTTGCTTATCTCTTACCTTATTGTTGTCTGATTATTTCTTTGCCTATTCATTATTTTTTATGGAAAATGGCGACATATATTGCTGACAATAGAGGGATGCTTGAACTAGTATCAACTTTAGTTAACTTTTGAAGCAATGATTTGAAGAACGGGCCTGTTAGTAAAATTAAGTAGGAATAAATTGTAAGCTTGATTACTTTAGTTACAATATTTAGGCAATTGCAAGATCACAAGTCAATCTAGTGGCTTTTGTTAAACTCTGTCTGATATATGTTTTGTTTTTTCCGCTCTGGATTTGGAAATAGCTTCGTGTGACTAAAAGTAGTCAACATTTTGCAAAATTCTGAAATAACAGCCTTGGATGAATACAAATGAATTTCCTTCAGATTTTTTTTTTTGGGGGAACTAGCTCATTCAGAGTTAAAAGAATTCTTTTCCCTGTTTTCTTGTATAGAAATCAGTTCAACCATCCGCTTCTTTGTATTATTGTTATTCTTTTATTTCCTTCAGATTTTGCGGTTATTTAGTGAATCTGCTCAAGATATTGGGGTCTTAAAGGTTGATTTAGCAGATGCAAAAAAACTTCTTGGAGCACGTAATAAGCAGTTACATCAATTATGGTATCGATCTGTTACTTTACGGCATATCATATCTTTGCTAGATCAAATTGAAGGCATAGCCAAGGTTGGTGGATTTTTTTATATTAGTTTTCTTTCACATAGATACTTTGAATGTAATGTCTGTACTTCTGTTTATAAGATTGGATCAGTAATCCCTTTTAAACTGTTGCTGCATTTTGAGAAAAGAAAGAAATTATATTTTTTTGGGTTTTGACGAACTAAAACATTTTGAAAGCACTAATTTGGCTGCTTTTCTACTTTAAATGCAGGCATATGTTTTCTCCTGATTTACGTTTTTTTCTTTTCTATATAATGAATGTTCCATTCATATCTAGTAAGCTCGAAGTGTTTCCGCTTTGTAGTTCTTGCAGTGTGCTGAGCTTGTATCATTGGCATCATAAAATGCATAGATTATGACATAGAACTCCTAAAAAATCACCGATGTCTCACATTTATATGCTTTCATTCATTGACTGTGGACGTGTGGTTAGGTAAGAATTTTATCTGAGAAGAGAGGCAGATGGCTAGCAGATGCTGTAACCATCCTCTTCACAGTGAAACTTTCAAGATGAAATAGGCCTGTGCTAATTTCTGTATAAGAATTTTTTTGGTCTTTTAAATCTGTATTTTGTCAATGAATTGAACCCTGTTCCCATAAACAGCATTCTAACTATTCTTTCTGATTGGGGCCTAGTCATAAATACTAAATGACGAAATTTTAACTCGTGGAAGACTGATGGTTTTGGTGGAAGTTGCTGCTCCTAACTACAACTGTTCAATTTTTCCTCAACTATATACACGTTTCTTGTTGCCATATCTGCAATTATATATTAATTGAAATTCTTATTCAAGCAGAGCTGTAAACAAGAGTAACATTTCGGGAAAAAATGTTTTCTTTTTCTTATGACGGTCTTTCAATGTTTGTTCTGTCTTGTTTCTTTGACAATGTTTTACTAATGCTACCATATAATCTGTTTCCTGCTGAAGCTCAGTTATTTATGTTCTCTTTCTAATTCGCCTTAGGTTCCAGGTCGTATTTAATGCTACTGTTTCAAAGCTACCTGCTGATATTCTATTTCTTATTTATCTTGTCTCTTTCTATTGTGTCTTAGGTTCCAGGTCGTATTGAAAAACTCATTGCTGAAAAGCAGTTTTATGCTGCAGTGCAGTTGCATCTTCAATCAAGTTTGATGCTTGAGAGAGAGGGCCTCCAAACGGTTTGTTATTCTTTCCTTTTGTTTTTCTCAGTATCCAAAAGTTGGTTTTGTGAAGAATCATGCAGATTTGAGTCTTATTTAACATAGTGACTCAATTCTTCAACCTCCACAACTTGGATTTAAATTGTTGACTTGGCACTTTTTAAGGATATTATATTAATCGAAGGTTGTTAAGTCATTGTGAGAGTACAAATTGCATCTTCTTTTTCTTCCTGTTCTTATCATTTTCAGGAATGATACGAAGATGCAGATATAACAAGAGTCTTAACATTATGAAGGAGGCAATTGCCATTGGGAGAGAAAAAGAATGCAACATACCTCCTATATAAACATAATTAGTGTGGGAAGTGGGAACTTGAGAGTACCTCTACAATCTCTAATAATGGCACTATTTTATTGTATTGGTTGCCAATGATGCAGCTTCAGAGTTAGCAATATTGTTTCAGAGGAAGTACCTCATTGCTAAGCCTTTCTTCTCAAGTGGATGCAATATATTTTCACATTAGATTTGTCATATAAATATTCGAGTCACACATTCAGATTCTATTCTGCAGTCACTGATTTTAATAGATAGACAGCCATTATATGGAGGACAGCATTAAGCTTAAGTGATTTTTTTTCTTTTTCTTTTCTGTGTATTACATCTCTCACCGTTTTGAGGTGCTTCTTTGTGTGCTATTTTCTCTTCATGCTGTTACATCTGATTTGAGTTTGCAACTAATAGTCAATGTCCTTAGCATCAAGTATCAACTGCAGTGAACAAAACCATTATTTTGAACATTGAGCATATCTGCGCTCAGAAGCATTATCTCTTTCTTACATGGAAGGGCATTAACTCTACCTGAATTTATTTTTAAGAAATAAGTTCTGCCTCCTATCAATTACATCTCACAGGGTCCTTAAACCTGGTAATTTTTTTATTTTTATTTTTTTTGGTAACCAAAAAATCATCAAATAATTATCGTAGCATCGTCAATCATGGAATAAAATAGGAAATGAAAGAAACTATCTTACTGTTCACTGAATGAGGTTCCTGAAACCACTCACCTAATTCCAGAATTCCCATCTCTATTTCTGTTGAAAGGAATTTGATTGTGTGAATGTCCTTGATTGGCACAGGTTGGTGCTCTTCAAGATGTCCGGTCTGAATTGACAAAATTGCGAGGAGTACTTTTCTATAAGGTTTTGGAGGATCTGCACTCCCATCTCTACAACAAGGGTGAATATAGGTATCCAGTTATTTCGCAAACCCTAACAGCCGTCCCATCCCTGGTTTATGTTAAATTCTGTATCTACCAGGGTGAATATAGGTATATAGTTTTTTCGCAAACCCTAACAGTCGTCCCATCCCTGGGTTATGTTAAATTCTGCATCTACCAGTATTTTATTCTGGGAGGATGAAAATGGAGGTTTTCTAATTGCTCTACATCTACAAGAAGTATTCTTATCGAGCTTCAATCTGATTGCATAACTTGACATACTAGTCTTTGAAGTATATGACCGAGGGATTTACCCCATTCGCTGTTGGTTAGAAAATCAGACAGTTTGGGTTTTTGGATGGCGCTTACATTTTTTTTCCTGTCTTTTTCTTCATTCAGAGATATTCTTTGATTTGCTGTCATGGACAAGCTTCTATCTTGGAAGCATTAATGTTCTTTTCATTTCTTTGTTAAGCTGATCATTCCTCCCCTCCCCTCCAACTACTCTTGTGGCAGCTCAGTGGTTTCGAGTATAAATGAAATTGATGATGCAATGCCAACTACCACAGCTATTGCATTTTCTATGAACAATCCACAGCCTCTCTCTCGAAGAACCAGGTTGCTGAAAGGAGATAGTCAGCTTGGAACATATGGTGCTGGTGATAGATTTTACAGGCCTAGTTCTGTTGATGGAGGGTTAGACAAAATTCTATTCTCAATGAAACTCTGCATTTTTACCTTTGGTGGTCGTTGCTTCCAATTTTGTATCTTTCACTTCCAGAGTTATTTTTCGTTCTTTTCATACTATACATATGCATGCATCTTAAATTCTTCAAATATATGTATTTAGTTCATTGGCTTAAACTTTGTTATGTCTATCACTTCTTATTGCTAGATAATTAAGTGTTAGTGTTTGCTTTCTACAAGGCTGAAAAGCTTCACAGATTACTAGATGCATGCTGTTGTTAGATTTCAGAATTACAGCCTATACCTCTAGACTCAATTGCTTTCAACCTTCTCTCTGATTTTATCTCTATTACTTCTTCAAAAATGGACAGAAAGGGGCTGCACTTTGGCGGGGAAACGAACAGTTCATCATATGCAAATCTGTTAATAAGGACTTAGCTTTGGCTCATCATTATTAGTTAAAGAATTTCCTCCCTTCCATGTTGGGCTCTCTTTTGTTGGTTTAGGTGCACCGTTTGAAATTTTGAATGAGTATAAACAAAAGTTTTACCCAGTACAGGAGAGTCAAAATATAGTTACAATTTGCCATGTTTCACATGGATGTAGAACATTGTCTAAGAACCTTATTATCTGATGCATCTGAGCACCTTTCTCTGTCCAAATGTTCGTGCAGCTCTTCATTTGATGGCCATGACGAGAATGGTGGCATGGATGGGCTAGACGATGCTACATCTGATGGATATACTATGCGGGTCAATGGCCGTGATACTGTTTCAAGGGATGGAAAAATTGTTTCTCTTCAAATTCCCATATGGCTTTCAGATTCTACTCCTGATGAATTTGTTGTATGATCCTGTACAAATATAAAATTATGTCAAACTTAATGGAGGAACATATTTATCTTATATAATGGGCTGAATTCATATGTAATTTTAAATATAGGAAGCAATGAGAAAGAGTGATGCTCCACTGCATGTCAAGTATTTGCAAACCATGGTTGAGTGCCTCTGCATGCTTGGAAAAGTTGCTGCCGCTGGTGCCATAATATCGTATGTCATCATGTTTAAGCTCTTTTTGTTAATTCAGACCACGTTCGTGGCAATAAAATGCACATCTACTTCAGCTATTATGAAATGATTTTCGTTAAAACTTTACAATTTAATATAATGTTGGGCTCGAGAAATTGTTCAGTTCACTTCAAACTGCATTATTTAATTGATCTAATGATTCTTTATTTTCTTTTCCTCAATGAGGATAACTATGAGTAGAGGTCAAAATGTCTGAGAAAGATGAAAGACAAACTAGGTGTTGTGTTACATTCCTGCTGTAATATCTATGATTTTGTGAAGTGATTGAAAGGCAATAGCTTAGAGTTCTTTGTTTCCTATCTTACAGCTGTTGGATGTCCACTGTTTTTGTCATTTGTTTGATTCAAACCGGGTTTTAATGTCCATAAATCAATAGTGGTTAGTACATTTCATAAGATTTACGATTGTCCAAAAGCAATGGATTATATCAATAGTATGCTATTGGAAATTGAACATCTTTAAGTATCAGGAGTTATTTAAGTATTTGACATCACATTGTCAATGTGGAGTCATCTAACAAACTTGGCCATTTCAATTAGGAAACTTGCAGAAAACCTATCTTGTCATGGATGCTTTTGTGATTTAAGTAAATTAAATTCTATCAATTATGAAGATTTTTCCTTTTGCAATTATTTGAGTTAAACTATCCCTCCCTTCCTTGCCCAAATGGTTTGGAGTAGCAAAACATGATCCTGCTCAACAAGCTATTTGTTAAATACATCTTTGGTCCGATGAAGAACTTTTCTGGGATAGATTCTGTTTCCGGATTATTGTCTTTTATTTAGTTGCAGACATTATTCCAAATTCCTTATCTTTTGTTTTTGGCAGCCAAAGACTGCGGCCTACAATTCGTCAGATAATTACTACCAAGATCAAAGCTCAGGCAGATCACGTTAACTGTTCAAGGACTGGCATCGGCCAAGCTGCCTCGAATATGGTTACAGGTCTCCACTATCTAAAAGGGCGGTTGGAGAGCCACCAATTACCTAAACAGAAGCGTCAGAATGGGTTAACATTAGCTGGAACTTTATTAGCAGTCAGCCCTGTCTCCCCAGTAATGTCTCCTGCCGGAACAGCACAAACTGCAGCAAAGGAACTCCTTGATTCAATTCTGGACATTGTTGTTCGGATATTCGGTTAGATAATAATGATTGTGTTATGGAAGTTCATGTAGTTTTATACAGGACTTTTCAATATCTTGACTTTTTTAATTGCGATGAGTTTTTAGAGAACCATATTATTGTTGGAGAACTTCTTGAATTGAAGTCTTCGCTACAAGTTGACTTGAACACACCAAAAGTAGTGGCAGCGGATATTAACTGGAATCCTGATTCTGATGCATCTCGTGATACTGGAGGCTACACCCTTGGCTTTTCCTTAACTGTGTTGCAGGTAGTCCCTTCTCTCTCTGTTTGCCATTTCCTTTTCAACACAACGATTCTCAGTTAATCACATGTTTTGTTATTATGGTTGTGTGCACTTAAAGTCTTGTTATAGTAATTCTACTTCTCTATGTACATGATAGAGTGAGTGCCAGCAACTCATATGCGAGATCTTACGAGCGACTCCTGAAGCTGCATCTGCAGATGCTGCTGTACAAACTGCTAGGCTTGCAAGCAAAGCCCCCTCGAAGGATAAGAGGCAAGTAACATAGTCACGATTGTTGTGTCTAAAATGTTCCTGTATCTTCCTACTTCTTCTGTTTTTGGAACTTTTCCATTTTTTTCTTTTCTTTGTACAGTTTTTTCCTTCCCTTTTCATTTTTATTAGTAATCTACTATCATTGTTGACCTCAAAGTTTGTCAAACTATCCAAATATGCTTGATTTCCTTATTATGCTTCGTGATCTATTTACTCAGAATTTAGGTTGAATGATTTATTACTTATTCGATCAACCCTACATATAGGAGTACAATCCTCTCAATCAAAGAAAAAGAAAAAGGGAAGAATATAAAATCCTATTACTAAAAGGAAAAAAATTGCAATTCCTAACTAGATTAGAATATGAGCTAGAAGGAAATATTTTCATAATTCCTATTCTAACTTTTCTATTCCAGCTCTCCCCCTCAAGTTGGTGCATCGATACATATCCAACTTGGATAGTGATCTATAGAATGGACGACTACTTGAAAATCATTGCTCAACTTTGATTGCCACACCTAGGAAAAGCTTCCCCTCTCTATAAATTCTAGTCGCCATCTTGGTTAGATTGTCCTGCATGAAGGGTTACTTGAGATACATGAGCAGCATTAGATCAGCAACAAAAAGCTGAAGCCTACACATAGACAACACACAAGATCTTCGAACACAGCCGAGGCCCATGATTTGTCAGAACCTTAGGCCTACTAGATGGCTAGGTCGACCAAGATTTAGAGTTGTAGAGCTCTAAGAAAGGTTGACGGATTGGGTATCTAGCAGCAAGTAGAGTAGAATGGTCGCACATAACCCCAAGGCATACCAGATTGCTGCGTTGACCAAGATGAAGGGTCGCATAACTCTTAAAAGATAGTCGGAGGGTTGTAGCTCAATAAAAAACTATAGAAACTGAAGAACGATAAATATCACAGCAACAAATTTGAGAACCATAAAAAATACTAGTAGAAAACCCAACAATGTTTGTAGCAAGAAATCTTCGGTTCAACAATCTAGGGTATGATATTTTAACAATCCCTAGAGTTAATATTTGAAGAAAAAACTTGTGCAATCAGAAACCAACCACAACGCAATAGATGGCCCTGAGGAATAATCAATCAACCAAACAAGACCCAATAGAATAAACCACCCACAATCAACAACTACCACACACAAGGGTAAAATTGTGCGGACCTGTGAACAATACCGATTGACAGTGTCATTGAACAGTATTGTCACGCGTTTTCTATAACGTGAATTTATACCGCAAGTGTACGGTGTCAAGTTTTGTAATATAGTATGAAAGTTAGGATGTCGAACCCACATGGATTGTAATTTAATTCCACTAAGTACTATAATTATGCAACTTCTATTTTATCTAGACAATTGATGAATGATTGGTTGATTGTTTTAAACTAAAGTAATGAAATTGGTTGAGACAAAATTGAGGAATATAAATTATCAAAATGAAGAAGCCTAGGGAATGATTTCACCAACTTTCAATTATGATTCAATGATATCAAATTATC